CCCAAGATACAGAGCAGAAAAGGAATTGGGTGATACAGGAAGAAAGAGAGAGAAAACAGGGTGGATATCCCAGCAGCAAGACCACATCAGGCTACTAATGCCCACCCTAGGTAGTTGTCTACTCTCTTTGTGGTACAGGTACAAATTTGATACAAGTAGTCTTCCATTAGGTCCAGCCACTATTGAGCCCCCGGTCAAATGATGAGTTCAAGATAAAGTGATAAGTCAACAAGGTATACCTTTTGATATGAATCTAGTAAAGCTGCTGTATCAATTCTTCTGGATTCATACTATCTAAACTATTCTACAACCACATGGCTTCTAGGACTGGTATGTAGCAGGTATTGCATGGTAACATGATTATACTGGTTCAAATGGATGTGTCATATTGATTATATACTGAAGATCCATTGAAGTCATGTGCCATCACACACCTTATTGTCGAGCAGGCTGTGTGTCACAGCTAACCTGACAGCCCCTGGAAACAGAAACTGTGCTCAGGCACCAGCCTTAATGCTGTAGCACAAGCAGATATTGGGCAGAAATGAAGTCGAAGCAGTCACCAGTTATGGTCTGCTGATTATGGTCCCTTTGTTTCCAACAACTTCACTTCAATAACTTTACTTCTGCTGATATTGGACTAGGGAGCATGCAGGGCTTATTCTGAGGTCACCATGGAAATGCTTGCCTGTGCCTATTTGGGACCCAGATCCAGGCCCCAAATGTAGTGATCTAGTCTGTGCTTCCTGGGGGAGTGTAAATAATACTCTATTCATTTTTTAGGACCATTCATCACATTTAATTGCAAGCAGTCCACAAAGACAGCTAAACTTCTCAGGGATTTAAATGTGGAAAATTTTAAGAAGAACCTTGCAGAACAACAAAAGTATCTCACAATCATCAGCTGACTAGAAAGAGTTTGGCTTAAATAAAGTCTGTCTATTGGAAATGAATAATTTTCATTTCAAGAATTTGTGATGCGAGAACAGGAAAAAATAACATGAAGGACTAAGTTCTTGTAACCTAAAATACAACAAAAGGCTGAAGAAGAAGCTATTCCTACTTGTGCTGGAGTAGTTTCTGCTGAGTTTCATACAAGCTTGTGCACCAGGAGCCTGGAAGTTAGGTCAGTCTTCTTGTAGACAGGGCACCTCTGTTGAATTCTTGCCTCCAAATGCAAGTTTCCTCTGTAGTTAATTTACTCACTGGGCTCTACTGTGTAAGCACTTTCCCTGTTTTGTGAATTACATTGTGTAACTTTTGAAGCACGTCCAGAAATATCAGAATGCTTTGCTTTGAAAAGGTGGAAATGTAAACATGTTAACGTTTTAAATTTTCCTCTCCTTTTTATCAGTTTAACAACACACACATACGCAAAAAGCTATAAATTACAAATTGTCTTCAATTTAGATAGGCACAGAGTTCCACTTTGGGCAGAGTCATTTATTAAAAGCAGTATTGCCCAGCCCTACAAATCCATACACTTTTGAGGTGTCTTACACTCAACCATAACCAGTTGTAGTTTCCCAGTAACAACCATCTCTCCTAGCTAGCATGGTGTCTTAGGCATATTCTGAGATGCTGGACTTCATGGATAGCCTGACAATTTTGGGTCATGACATGGAATTTCTGAACACAGCACTTATGAACCTCCTAAGTGAACTGTCTTGGAGGAACTCCCTGAAAACTGTAACCTTACCAAACTTTTGCATTTTCTTTCCAAATCTTACACCCTGAAACCCTTCAAAAAAATAAAGATTGGTTCTGAAACATTTTTACTTTTATGGCAGATAATTTTCCAAGCACTAATCAAACTACGAGTTAAATTTCAGAGTAGTTTAACACCTTTCCCACCAAATCCACAAGGCATTTTGTTGGATTCAGAAAATTACTTTAAAATGTTTGGGTTTTTTTTTTTTCTATTAATGGAGTTCCTCCATGGACAAGAAAAATAGCTTATTTGAACAGCTCTAATTCCAGGGTGCCTAGCCCTTCCTTTTTCTGTGTGGCATGACATTAAAGAGAGTCTGTAGGAACTCCAGTCTTACTTTTCCCACCTCATCACCTGCTCCAGCTAGTGACACTTAGCTTTGAAACTGCAGATCAGTGATTACATGCAGTTGCATGTTGGCATGAGTAATGCTTTCAACTTCTGAGCTGAGTGTTGTCAGAGCTTTGCTCACCATCCTATAGATTTGTGCATCACACTGCGTGTGGGTTAATTCTTCTGAGTGCTGCAACAAATCTGCTGAGTGACATCCATTTCATAACATTTTTACTGGTTTTAAAAGCAAATAGTTTACTGAGGGAAGACCAAATTGCACAGGAAGAAGTCTTTTTATACAGCATGGCCTGGGCTGTGAGATCTATCTACATTAAGTTAGTATTTATTTAGGCATGACAGTAATTGTATGGCAACTGAAAAATCTTAGATTTTTTTTTTTTTTTCCAAAGCACAACATTGCTGCAAGCAACAGTCTAGCTTTAGGTGAACTCATACTGTGACAAACTAAGAATGGAGAAAACACATTTCTTGTCCATAAAAGGACAGCTCACACATCCACAGAGGGTAGCTCTGATTTTGCTGCAGTTCCAAACTATGAAGTGGGGACTCGCTGTTGCTAAAAGTGATTTTACTTAGAGTGGATAAAGAATTCTCCAGTAAAACTTTTTTTTTTTCCCTTTGTCTTCTTAAAAAGAAAATGGTTTCCCTTTTTATACAGAAAATGGTGTTTTTTTGAAGTGGAAAATTTTCTGTTCAAAAGGTCTGATATTTCTGCAGTTTCTCCTGGAAAACAAAAACAAAAACAAAAACAAACAAACCACCAGAATATCCATAATGTCACCAGCAGGTCAAGGAAGGGGATCCTTCCCCTCAGCTTAGAATTGGTAAAGCCACATCTGGAGTGCTGTGTCCAGTTCTGGGCTCCACAGTACAGGAGAGATATGGACATACAGGAGCAAGTCCATGAAGATGATTAGGGGATTAGGGTCTCTGTCATATGAAGACATGCTGAGAGCACTGAGGTTGTTCAGCCTGGAGAAGTGAAGACTCAAGGGGATCTTATAAAAATGGAGAAATATCTGATGGGAGGGAGTAAAAAACATGGGGTCTTTAAGGCCAGGCTGGATGAGGCTCTGGGCAGCCTGATCTAGTGGGAGGTGTCCCTGCTCATGGCAGAGGGGTTGGAACTGGGTGATCCTTGTGGTCCCTTCCAACACTAACAGATTCTGATCTGTTTTAGCAGAGGACTTTAGAGCCCTAATGGCTCAATGGTTGGACTTGATGATCTTGGAGGTCCCTTCCAACCTGAATGATTCTATGATTCTATGGAGCCAGGCTCTTCTCAGGGGTGTCCCATGAAACAACAGGAAGCAATAGGCACAAAGTGAGATACAGGAAATGCTACTGAAACTGGATTTATTTTTCCCCTTTTTTTTTCCCTTTTACTGTGAGGGTGGTCAAACACTGGAACAGGTTGCCTGAAGGTTGTGGAGTCTCCATTCACAGAGCTATTCAAACCTGACTGGGTACAGCCCTGTGCAAGGTGCACTAGCAGACGCTGCTTTAAACAGTGAGATAGGACTAGACAGTCTCCTAACAATCCTTCCAACTCTACCTGTTCTGAGACATGACAAATGTGTTTGCAGTGCAGGAGAATGAAATTCAAGATTGTTCTGAGCCACTTGAAGCAGCACTACAGCCAGGCTTTACCACATGCTATGAGAGTGCTCTAACATGAGTTTAATAGTTTCTCCTTTAATCCACTACTTGTGCAAGTAGATGTGCTTCCAAGTGAATGGTTTACTTTCAGGATTTAGTATTTTACACTAAAAATTAATTTCATTTAAATATAAGTGCAAATACAAAATATACAGCTATATGCAGGCAAGAAAAAAACAACCTCCTTAGATGTTTGCAGTTCTCAATTACACAAACAGGATGACAGGAAAATTTAAAAATAAATAAAAAATGAGCTTCTAGAAGGTGCTCAGAAGCTAGAATTACAAGGACACTCAGGAATCCGTATAAAGTAGTGCATAGAAAAGTAGAGTACAGAGAAGAAGCATACTTTTAGGTCCAGTTTTCAAAATATTGACTTTGAGATTGTTGTGATCTTTTTGAACAAGATGATTCCATAGGGGGAGGGAAGTGTGGAGCATGTCCTACATTTGTCCTTGAATATTTCTAAATGTCAGTTTAGCTCCACTTTATATAAATCTAATGAAGGAAGTTCATTAGGGATAACAAGGAAAAAAAAAAAAAAAAACCAAAACAGCCCACCCAACAGCAAAAAAACAACCAAAACCAAAAAAGTCACAAAAAAAATTAAAACAGGTCCCAGCTCTGCAAACAATCAGTACAACATGGTCTATGGATTAATGTGAATTTCCCACTTGTATTACAGAAGCCTAATGACTGCCTTCTGAGGTTCAAAATATAGGAAACCCCAATTTGCTGCTTAACTGCATCCCTTTCCTTCAAGAATACTTTCCCTTGCAGCATCAGAGAGAGAACAAGAGATATTGAAATACAGGATTTATTTCCCACTGCTCAAGCCATTTGATGGATCCAAGAGATCTCAACATGCAAAACCTGACAACACTTTGCTAAGTCAGAACTTCTGCCTTTTACACTATTGGTTAGTTTTCTCCTCTACAATGGTGAAACTAAACCACTCTGTAGAAGAGGCTCTGTGAAAGTAACTTGGCCTCTCCCTGCTGTCAAGACCTGGACATTCTACTCCAAGAGCTACTCATCCCTATAGAGAAAGGGCCTAGTTGACATATGGGCCACTATACAAGAAAAGAGGAAAATTAAGGTCGTTTTAAAAGGTGCATGAAATCTAGAGGAAACACTGAAGAAGAGAAAAAGTCAGAAAATGGCTACACTTATTATAAAGTATAACAAAATACTACCATGAATGAAATACTTTTAAAAGTATTTAAAATTATTCAAAAATTATTTGGTTTTATGTTGACTTTCTGTTTCTTTGCAGATCTTACAGGTGAACAAGGTGATGTCCATCTTGTTTTATGTGATATTTCTCGCTTATCTTCGTGGCATCCAGTCTACCAACATGGATCAAAGGAGTTTGCCAGAAGATTCAATAAATTCTCTTATTATTAAACTCATTCAGGCAGACATTTTGAAGAACAAGCTTTCTAAGCAGATGGTAGATGTTAAGGAAAACTATCAAAACGTGGCGCAGAAAGACACTCAGCAAGACGTGGATGGAGACGAAACTGTGAAATCAGACTTCCAGCCAGTTATCTCAATGGATACAGACCTCTTAAGGCAGCAGAGACGCTACAACTCTCCCCGAGTCCTCTTGAGTGACAATACACCGTTGGAACCACCCCCACTGTACCTCATGGAGGATTATATTGGAAATTCAGTGGTGGTGAACAGAACGTCCCGTCGGAAAAGGTACGCGGAGCACAGGAGCCACCGAGGGGAATATTCCGTTTGTGACAGTGAAAGTTTGTGGGTCACGGACAAATCGTCTGCCATTGACATTAGGGGACATCAGGTGACTGTTCTGGGAGAAATTAAAACAGGCAACTCTCCAGTTAAGCAATACTTTTATGAAACGAGGTGTAAAGAAGCCAAGCCTGTAAAAAACGGCTGCCGAGGCATCGACGACAAGCACTGGAACTCCCAATGCAAGACATCCCAAACTTATGTTAGAGCACTGACTTCAGAAAACAATAAACTGGTAGGCTGGAGATGGATAAGAATAGACACCTCCTGCGTGTGTGCGTTGTCAAGGAAAATAGGAAGAACATAAATCTGCATCTCTCTGCTATATAAATTATTACTTTAAATTATATGATATGCATGTAGCATATAAATGTTTATATTGTTTTATATATTATAAGTTGACCTTATTTATTAAACTTCAGCAAATCTACAGTATATAAGCTTTCTCTCTCAATAAACAAGAGCAAAGGGCGTGTGCCTCTGCTATGGCAACTCCAGGTCTAATTTTAGACTGTATTTGTGACACTGCTTGTCGGCAGCATACCGTAACCTTACTGTAAAATCTGTGTAAAATCAGTATTTTTCACTCAGTATTGTCAAGCCAGTGACTGTCATTTAGTAAACTTGCTAAAAATCAGATCAATGTCAAGAGTTGTGTACATGTTTATACTCCCCACTCTATACATTCACGCTTAATTGGATGCAGCGTTGACACCTCACTGTCAAAACAGAAATGGACCAAAATACATGTTATAGCCTGCAGGTAGTGTCAACATTACAGGCATCAAGTAGCCATAAAATACAATTCCTGTGTATTATGTCAGTTTTGCCAGTGAAATGACCATTTTCCCTCTCTTAGCATTCAAAATGACTGCTAATAATCCAGCAACTTTCGTTTATGTTTTTGTAGCACATTTGTTTTTCCGCTGTTTCTACTGCTGCCAGTTGGTCTGAGAAAAAATATGAATAAAATCTGAAATATTTGTAGCAGAAACCTACTGAAGCCAAGAACCAATCTAAATGGATCGTTGATATAACACATAAAATATGATGTCTTCAGAATTTAGTATTTATTGTGATCAGTCCCTTCTTCATCATATTAATCAATTATCTTATGTTTGCATTGTTGTATCGTTCCTCTCTGTCTGAATTTTAAAATTAGAAACAAAGCTGGTGGTGTCTTAACCTCAAAAGAGCCCTTGGCTTGCAAACTGTAGTAAAACAACGATATGATATCCTGACATGGGTCTCAAAGCCACACACCTACATGAAGCTGATCTCAGCAATCCATTCCTTATTTTCCATGGAGGGAAAAATGCGTAGAACCTCTCAACAAACCTGGCACATTTGATAGGAACATGAAATAATGTTTTTGAGCAGTATGGTGACTAAAGTCCAGGTAGTCTGTAGTTGTAATGAAATTCTTCAGTTCTACAGGTGAGTTGTTACTTAGGGTAGACAGATGTGCTAACATATATACCTCAAACTCTTCTTTGTATTGTCATATAGCTCCACTGAGGACAACAATAATTACACTACTTGAAGAGATGGTTTATTCTATATTAGCTCCATAACGTCCTGGATGGAGTTCCAGCTCCATAAAAGTAAATTAGAGTCTTGTCATGGCTATTGACAGAATTAAGGTTGGACTGCCAGCTCCATAAAAGTAAATTAGAGTCTTGACAGAATTAAGGTTGGACTGCATTTGTTATCTCTGTCTAGCTCGATCTCAACACACAATCAGGGCTGAAAATTGCAAATCATTCAGAAAGCATTACAGCTGTAGTGGCCTTAGGTTTATACACTACGGCTTTCATTGCTGCAACAAGTTCAGCATCACAAATGAAAATGAGGTCAGAGCACTCAGAGAGGAGGCTGCAGTACGCCTTTGTTTGTATTGCTTCCACTACTGGAGAACCAACTTCAAATCTGCAACAGGCCATCAAAGGCAGCAAATTGTGTGGTCTCTGCTAATCCCTTACAGAGAGCGTTCCACATCATAAAACCACTGGAGAACCAGACAGGCTCCTGAGGCCAAGCAGTGACTCTGAAAGCCAGGTTGGAGTGCATAGGTACAATTCTGCAGGGGAGGCCATAAACAAAGGGTTTTGAGAACCATCTAAATTTTTAACATGAGGCCAGGGTATTTGCCTCACAGGAAATCATCACCTCTCGGTACTAAATCCTAACTTTCCTTCAAGCAATAGTAATTTCACAGGTTCAATACCAAGGCAATTGTTAAAAGGTGAGAGAGGATGTAATACAACAAGGAGCTCATTATCTGCTGACAAGAATTTTTCCAACATTCTCCTTCCTTGGTACCCATTTAAAAATAAAAGTAAAAAAAAAAAATCAACAGAGATTTTGTTAGTTCTACTAGTAAGAAAGTTTAAATTGCAACTAAATTTTTCTACTTGGGAGGACAAGGATATTTTTAGGATTTCTGACCCACTTAATTTTCTTTTTGAAAGCTAAAAAGCATAATTTTACACCCTGGATTCACAAATAAAGATAATTTTCAGATGTTATGGCTAATTAATAGGAGATATTAACATGGATCATTAATTTCAGAGATCTGCATGCTTCAGTATGCCAGATAGCTTTATCTTAGCTTGGTTAAATCACATTAATTGAAAACTACCTTGTTCCTGCAGTGGGGGTGCTATTCTTAATTACATCACCGCAAACCCAGAGTTCTGTTAAAGGTGGGTGAGAAAATCTAGGTTTGTAAAAAGCCAAGCAACATCAGAGTTGAACCTAATGCCTTTATTTCTGCTCACTGAAAATCACGGGAAAATTCATTCTTTATAAGCTCAAAGAAGGCAATCTGTCATTTTCCACCATAAATCTAGTAACGGAAACTGGTCTTTGACTCTTAACTTTACATCAAGTATTTTTCAAGCGGCCAGGAAAAATATATCAGAATAAATACAACGGCTGTCATCTGAAATGCATTAAACAAGAAAGAAACACGATGCGTAAGGTTATTAGATTGGCTGCCTCTTTCCCACCCCAGGATAACAATGAACGGAAGTGTTACCCTCTGGATCTGATCCAGTTTCCACTAAAGTCAATGGAAGAATTCTCACCTTCTCCAGTGGAAGCTGGACCAGGCCCCAAGCGAAGAAAAACCTGCAGGTCTCAACCAGAGAGCGGAGCAATGGCACACATTAGTTACGCGTTCTTGTAAATCCTGTGTACGCATAAGATGCTGTATAATTTTGTAACAAGTTTGTAAAAAAAAAGCCTGTAATAAATTTGTTAAGGCCTAATTCTGTTTTCGCTGTAGCTGGGGATGGTTTTATTGTGAACTTCAGTCATGGTACAACGAATTCAAAATCCCTTTCCAAATTTTTTTATGTGTGTGTGTTAAGTAATTAGCAAAATATTCAGCTCGCAACACTAGTTTAATTTAAGTGTTTTAAAACTCACTCCCATTAGGCAGCTCAGATGCTCTGTCAATATTATTTTGCCAATAGATCATTATAAACACACATTTTATTTAGCTTTTCTCCCAAACGACCGAATGCTATTCTGAAATTGCCTGTCTGTGTCAAACTGTATTTTCTCAATTTTTTTTCCCTAGTTTTTTTACAGTCCATTTAGTAACAGTAAAAAATGCTCCACTGAGGTTTTGGGAAACCATCTGCATTTATTTTATCACCTTTGAACATGTGTTCAGGAATGAAGTCTGTGCAGCAAGTTTACAGCTACCAAGAGATTTGTGCGGCTGCACCAGGAAGAAACATTGACTGGACTGTGCAGAGTGTGTGTGCTCGAAACCACTCTGCTCATACTCATGCTTGTGCTTTAACAATCAGAGTCTTTCGCTCAGCTATGCAACTCTGTATCTGCAGACAATACCAAACAGGAAACGAGTCTGATTAGGAGTTTGAAAATTAAAAATTAATGATAATGACCTGCTATTTCTGATCTTTCAGCAAACGCATTTACGCAGTGAAGCGGAGTGCACAACCATTCATTTCATTTAATAGAAACATAGTGGTAAAATCGGTGGGAATCTGTGTTCTCCATGCTTGGTACACGTATGTAATTCATCATGCACGTGGGGAGGGGGCCAAGGAAGGAAGAGGAGGAGAAGGAGAAGAGGATAATAAGTACCACAGCTTGTGAGAAGTAAAGCGCTGTGCTCCGTGTTGGAGCATTTTAAAGTGTGGAGGGGTTGTTTTCTGAAAAGCTTTGCCTGTATTTTGTTACAGCAGATGGCAGAATGACGAAGCAAGCACAGATGTGGTGTAGAAAAATCAAGCAATAGAAGGGTAACAAAAACTTCCCTGGGAAAGTTTGTCATTCGCTGCTGCTGCTGTAGGTCTGTACAATTCTGTGCAGGTTGTTGTAGAGCTCAGCAATGATGTTCCCAGTTAAATTATTTAACTAACTTTTGTGGCAAAAAAAAAAATGTAGTTTTTTTTCCTGAAACGTACTACATTAATGATGTGAAATTTTTTTTTTTGTAACCTCTAGATGCTTTGGTACCTATGATAAACTGCAAATAGCAATGCTTTCAATGAAGGTTCCCAAATCCATATTTCTCCCTTGTTTTACTGCTGAGGGTTGAAGCCAGTGGCACCTGAAAGCCATACTTTCACAACAAAGCTGGCCTTTTGATGCCATGACCTCATGTTTCCAGGTGTTTTGATGAAAGGGTCTTATTCTGGAGCCGCTAGCCACACAATTAGGTGAGATCATGACTAGGCTGCTCTAATCATTCTTGAGAAGTGAGTGTATGGACACAGCAGCCAGGGAACAAAAGGAGAGAGGCAGCTCTATGCCCTCTTTATACCCACCTTCACATATCACCTGCTTTGCTTTCAGTCTTTTTTGCTTGGTTGCAATTTGCATGATCAAGGGCTACATAATCAAGGGTTGCTTCCTGTGTGTTCAGATCAAGGGTTGAGATGCCTAGTAGACCTTTGACAGAAGGGCAGTTTCTCAGTTCATTTCTTGCCTGCCCAGAAGTGTGCCTTATGTGAATGTGGATGGACCTTTGGTAAAAAGATCCTGTGGTTGTAGCATGTCAGTTGTCTCCTTTCTAAAACAGAGCATGTAGTTGCTGTTTTGCTATGTCACAGGAGGAGACAGCATCATTGATAAACCAGCTCCATTATTTGTAAATTACATTGAGATCATTTGGTAAAAAATACTAATGTGCCCAAAGGAGGCTGTTAAGACAAAAGGTAGGATGCTCCTGTGCTCTAAGCAAAAATATTTCCATGGAGGGTGGACGAAAAGGAAAGCAAATGCTGAAAAAAAACAGGGATTCATAGCTGTTAGGTGGTAAATATCTTGAAGAGATTTAGGAAAGCACTAGGCAGAGAGTT